CGCTCGTCCCGGCCCGCCTCCCGTCTAATAACAAAACTTTGCCGGAAACTTGCCGAAAGCTAGAGCGAACTGTTTATCTAGACTCTAATTCGCCGTCGCTGCTCGCTGTTTACCCGGAGCGAGGGGAAAAAAAGGAAAGTTTCGGTCGAATAAATCAAATATTTGGTCAAGCAACACGCTTGTAGGAAATCGAACCGAATTGGCAGCCAACCGCCCCTCCCTCCTGGACTCCTGTTAAATGACTCTTAGTCGTGTGGATGTAAATACTAGCATCGTAGGGTGGTTATCGATGATATAGAGGACTTGAGGTGACTGACCGAGATCCGATTGATAGCGCCACGAGAAATCACTGATCGTTTTTTCACGAATTTGAATCTTGGTGACAGGGTGATTTTGACAGTATTAAATGTTAGTTTGCCCAGCGGGCTGATTTTTGAAATTGATAGACAAAGCTATAGACATAGAGGACATATAGGGAGCATGGAGCGATCCTATTGGTTGAAATGGGTGGCTCCTATAGACCGAAGGAGAAAATGATGAACTTACTATAGGGTCTCTCGTGGGTTGCCGTTAGGTAGTTTATTACCTATATCCTCTTTTGTCCATTGCAACCACCTGCCTCCACCAATATAATCCCTCGATATCCCTTTTGTCTTCTTTGTCTATAGCTTTGTCTATCAATTTCAATAATCAACCCGCTGCAGCGGTCTCCCCGTTCATCTATCTTGTCTCGCACAATACACTGAAAAAAAGCCTTGAGTATATAGGAACTCATTAAGAAGCCTTCAATATCCACTCCTCTAGGCAATCTGGTCGGCAGTACTAGACATCTGGTAGTGTCAGTCATACGCGTGGTGAAACTCATTGAAATTTGCGGGCCAATGCTACATCTGGGTGCTGGCCATTAGATTACCCTATGAGAACATAACGCATTTTTACGCAATTTAATCTAAAATATCTGAAAATTTCAAGGAAAAATATGCATGAATGTTGTAAAAAATACATGTTTTACCAAAGGAAATTTTGCAACTCTCGAATGTTCATAACGGCGTTCTTCCTCAGTACGGCAGAGTAGTACTCAATTGCAAAATGCAGTCAAATCATCAAAAATCATTTTAGTTGGCCCAAGATGCGTAGTGTGCAAATATTCTCATCGAGATACATAATAGAAGCTCTTTTTATGAACGTTCATTTTATGTTGTCTTAGTAATCCATTAACAATTAAAGTAAACCAATGTGCACCCGTGTAACGTGAGCTGTAAGTAGTGCTCAGGTCGGTCGACGGTTGCCATCCTAAAGCAAACACTGAAAGGGATATGGGTTTCGGTTGTCGAGGGTGCTTAACGAACGGTGAGAGATCGATTTGCACGCTCAAGACTGAGGTTGAAGCCGGTCTATCGCCGCGCCGTTCCCGCCAGAATGTTAAATTCACTTATTTCTCTCCAGCTGGCGAGTGATATAATTGAATTTATTAAGAGCCCACGCTTCAATAGCTTCAATGACTTTAATTCTACCTCTCCCAATCACGGTTTCAGGCTGAGTCAGCGAAATGCGCTTAGCGGACAGCTTTTAATTCAATTCGCTGCGATCAAGGATCAAACAGCCCCGAGCTAATTTAGAAAACACCTTTTAAACATTTACGGAATGATTGAGGATCTTAGGGGTCGTGAAAAAACGATTCGCGTGAAATTAAGGCGCTGATTTTTCAATGTTATGTGGCACTGATTTTTGCATAAAGGGAGCAGGCGTAGATCATGCAAGATCAGTAAAGGGTTCCTTATCTTTCGCATTTGTTAGGATTATTAGAAGGGACCAACCAAATCTTAAAACTACATTATTTTGAAATGGTATATTCCTCAGGATTTCAAGTAATTTGTCATTTCTTGATCTTTGACGGGGTGTAAAAGCTTCATTCCTTAATATTTCTGTCGTGCTAAGCAAGAACGCCGTAAATTCATCCAGGTTTTTCCTCGTTTGGAATTGAACATTTTATAAAACAAAACTGTTTTACCCATGCACCTCAAATTTTCAGGTTGAGTTCTTGATAGTATATGCAAAAGAATTCTATAATTTTCATTTTTAGCTGCAACGTAGAAAAGTACATTTCTCCGCTTGCCACCACCTTCTGTATTTTCTCTATGAATAAAAATAGAGATCCCTAATGTCGGAGGAGCGATCTGTATCTATCATAAGTTATCAATACAGGCAGGGGTACAGAAAATTCTTCAGTGTACGCTTTTACCACCAAACCACAATTTTTTCACGCACCATTAGTATTACGCAGTGCAGTAGGAGTGATTTCTGCTGAAAAATCTTCTATGAGGAACTATTTTTGACAAAAAATCAGCGCGGACGAAGTCACTTGAATCGAAATTATAAGCGCAGTCAATGTACCTGGTATCAACAAAATATTAACGCGACTGCATAATTTATATTTATTTATTTATTTATTTATTAAAACTTTGTACATGGGAGCCCCATTATTAGGGCTATGGTACAGGTCAAGAAACACTATACAATAATTAAAAATATAAATTACAACTGTACATTAGTTGGTGGTTAGAACGTTATTCAACAGATGAGTTTAGAAACTCGTTCAAATTATAAAAAGCCTTGCTCAAAAGAAGATCGCGAAGTAAATTGAAAAACTTCCGGATATCACCGTCGCGGAGTTGTTTTTTGACATTCCAGGGTAGAGCATTTATAATTTGGATAGCCGAAAATTTGCAATCTTGCTCAGATAGTTTCAATCGGACTTTTACGTTTTTGATATCTCTATGTCTGCTGTTGTAATTATGAGACGGTAGAAGATCAGAGGGAGATACCAATCCATTTGAGATTGCAAATTTTAGGCTATCCAAGATATAAAGGGAGGTCAGGGTGAACAATCTATGCTCTATGAAGATTGGGCGGCAGTGGGCATTCCAGGGCATATTAAACATAATTCTGACGAGCTTTTTTTGTAACATGAAAACTTGCTCTGCTCCAGTGCTACGGCCCCACAGGATTAGTCCGTATCTCATATGGGAAACAACATGGGCATGATAGAATGCTAAGCAACACTGAAGGGTAGATATTCTTGACAGGTTGCGAAGGGCCCAAGATGCTCGGCTTAATTTACATATGACTTTACTGGTATGTTCTTTCCAGGTGAGCCCTTTATCTATTTGGATACCAAGAAACTCAACAGAGTTTTCCAGTCGAATACTATTTGAGTCTCCTAGAATACAATAATCAATGGATGGAGCATTACAAGAGCCGGCTGAGTATATTAAAGCTTGTGTCTTACTTTGGTTAACCGTCAGATCGTTGGCATTAAACCAGGCGGAGGCCTGGTCATACACTTCACGAGCCTTAAGTATTACATCTCCACCCTCAACTAAGGCAGAAGTGTCATCCGCAAATAGTAAAATGGGGTATTTGACATTAAAGGGAAGGTCATTCATGAAAATGATAAATAAAAGTGGGCCTAAAATTGATCCCTGAGGGACTCCGGTCATTAAGGGTAAGACACTAGAAAGAATGGGTCCATTGACAGAGTCAATTTTTACTCTCTGATTACGATCAGAAAGATATGAAGCAATGAGCGTTAAGGCGTTTTCAGAGAGACCGTATAAATGTAATTTCTTGAGTAGCAAAGAATGATTGAGGAGATCGAAAGCTTTGGTTAAATCAAAATGTATACTCATTACAGGAAGTTTTTTTTCAAAGGCGGTGAGAACTTTATCTATAAGTTTATACAGAGCATGGGTGGTAGATAAACCCTTTCTAAAGCCAAACTGGTGATCATATAGCAGGTTATTGGACTCAAAGTGGCATAGAAGCTGCTTAAATAGGATTTTTTCGAATAGTTTGCTTACTGTAGAAAGAACAGAAATAGGTCGATAGTTAGATACATCCTGCCTGGAACCCTTTTTAAACAAAGGAGTTACATTGGCAGATTTCAAGCAGTGCGGGAACACACCTGTCACGATACATTTATTAATCAGCACGAGCAGATGCTCACCAATGATAGAAAAATAGTCACGAAAGAAAAATGGAGGTATGCAGCCATATGTATCAGCTTTGTTTGGCTTGAGACTACAGACACATGAGTATAGCTCATTTAGTGTTATCTGGGAGAATGTAAAGGTTGGAGGGGGGTTTTTCAGGGACTTTTTTGTCATCTCCAGAGCCATAGAATGAGCTAAATTACTTGGAAACGTATTATGCAGGGAGGTGAGATGTTCATTGAAAACATTAGCTATTTTAGCTGGATCAGAAACAATCACCCCATCACAACGAACAGCATCAATTAGTGAATTGTTATTAGTACTCGGCGTTTGGTCCTTTATAATTTTCCACGTAGTAAAAGATTTGTTCTTGGAGTTCTTAATCATTCTCTCAACATTTTTACGCTTTTCTCGGTATAAGGACTTTTTAAGTAACTTATTAGTTTTATTGAAGAGCTTTTTATATTTAAGAAGACCAGTATTTTTATACAGAGAATGATATTCTTTTTTACGTTCACTGAGTGAATTGAGGGTATCATTTTTTAACCTCCTGCAAGAAAATGACTTTACTGGTCGGACAGGACAACATAGTTCAATAGCAGAGTACAAGCCTCTGATAAAATGTTCTACTGTATTATTTACATTTCCAAGTTGAGGGTCGAAAGTGGAGCAAAAGTAATGAAGTTGCCCAGTTAGACCTAGACAGGCCTCTTCAGACCAGTGTCTTTTAAAACGCTTATTATTAATATAATTGGATTCGGTATCGATGGGAAATGAGACAATTTGACCTCGATGGTCTGAAAGCCCTGGATCCCACGTTACAGAATCAATGGGACGAGAGCTAGAGAAACAGTTGTCAAGCAAAGTGGCAGAAGTTTTAGCTACCCTGGAAGGTTCATCACAAAATATCGGTCGAAGGTTGAATTCAGAGAGCAAGTTACAGAGAGAGACAACATCTTTACGCCGTGGATCCAGAAAGTCGATATTAAAGTCACCTGATAGACTATAATGACAATTCATTTCGTGCAAGGTACTAAGTACTGCTTCTAATTTTTCCAACATTACTTCAAAATCGCCAGTAGGCGGTCTGTATATTGATAGAATAACCCAAGGCTTTTTAAGATGAATATTATTAAGTTTATGTATTGAGATAGCCGAAATTTCAAAGTGGTGCTCTACAGAATGGGCTTCAAAAATTTGAGGACGAGAATACTTAATAGTTGGCTTGACATAGATTGCAGACCCCCCTCCTCTTGAAATTTCTCTAGCCTTGGAGTCAGCGCAAATGTAATTGGAGAGGGGAATAGCGCTATCTGGCTTAAACCAAGTTTCTGTAAGGCAGATAATATCCGGCTCGGACTTTAATTTGCCCATCTCAAGAGCAAGAAGATGAGTTTTCCCAATTTTATGGAGGCTTTGAATATTTAGATTAAGTAATTGGAATTTAGGCGAATTTATATTGTTGATACGGTTATTTTCAAGAGTCAAAATTTCAGAGCGCAGAAAATTAGCATTTCCATTGTCAGAGCAGTTTAGTTTAAATGAAAGTTGAGGAATGACGTCAACTCAAGCGCCAGCAAGCGTTTGAAATTATCTTTCACATGAAGTCCGTCCTTACAATAATCATTCCCAATAGCAAAACACATCCTATTGAAGAAGGTACAATTTACATTCTTTTGTCCTAGGTCAAATAAACTTAAATTAAAATCATAGATTTGTTGATTCATAGGATCAGAGGGTGCTTTGTCCCTCCTATAGGGTACCGCAGAAACAATTACATTTGTATGTTTATGCCTAGCTGCAAAGGAAATGATAGGATGATTGGCTGCACTTATACTATCATGGTTTCTGCTACTTATCTTATAAACGTCATTAGAACCCGAGAGGATTAGTACACAGTCATTTTTGGATAGGTCAGGAAAGTTTGCACTTGCAAGTATTTTATTTGAACCCGCACCTGGGTGTACATATGATTCTATGGCAAAGTTTGTTGAGTTTAAGCGCAAATGCTTGGCAAAATTTCTAGAGTGACTATCACCTAGGATAATTATTTTCTTTTTTCCCTTCCTTGCCTTAGCACTTTCTTCCTTTAATTGATTTAATCTATCAACATTAAGGACTACCTGTTGAAACGCCTTTGAATTTCCTGTATTCCTAAATTTTTTAAATATAAAAGTGTTTCTCAAGCTGAACTCCAATTTTAGACTCTGTTTTGGCTTTTTTGATTTTAATTGCTTAAGTATGCCTCTATTTGCTTTTTGAAGGGAATAGTTGTCGGAGTTTACCTTGCTTAGGTCATTTTTAAGCGTGTCAATTTGGTCTAATAACATTTTGTTCTTTTTGGTTAAGCTGTTTTTTGAAAGATTTGAAGTGTCCTCTACTTTATTTACATAATGTAATTTTTCATTCAAAACCCTTATCTCCTCTTTTAAAATTGTTATCTCATCAATCAACATCGAGTTCTCATGCAAAGAAGAACTTAATTTATTTTTAGTATCTATAAGTTCATTATTTAAAGCATCCCTTTGGACTTCTAGATCGAGCTCAAGACTAGTTTGGGTGCTCATTGAGGTTGTGACAGGATTACTAGTATTACAATTTACTATTACATTTGAAGTCGTTGCTTTGGTTTTGGAAGAAGAAGTAGATTTCACCCGCTTAGAAGAACACAATGGAAGACTTCGTAATGAAAGCGTTGGTGAAGCAGTTGTTTTTGTATCACCGTCAGTTGAAGGGGCCAGAGACTTAGTAGATGAGACCGCATTTCTTTTCTTGCTATTATTGCGTACATTATACATTTTATCAAAATGAAAGCACTGGCAGAGTTTTCAGCATAAGGAATGCACTTATAACAATTTTAATTCTCTGATGCGGCGAATTCATACCATTGAGTGCAATAAAAAGCGCGCCCGCGCGCACCACATATATAGCGCCTTCCACATCGTATAGATACTACATACGCTACACCTTTTTCACCATGCTGCGCCAATTGCCTATACTGCGCCTGCTGGACTGTACGCTGTGTTTTGAGGGAAACACCGTCCATCTGCACTGCCGTGCTAAGGAAGAACGCCGTATGAACATTCGAGAGTTGCCAAATCTCCCCGAATAAAACATGTATTTTTGAAGAAAGTTGTTCGTATTTTTCCATGAAATTTTCAGATATTATAGATTAAGTTACGAAAAAACTTCTCTGTAAAATTGGAGGGAAAATATTTTCAAGTTTACCAGGAAATTTGTGTTCTATAAATGGAACTTTGGCAACGTCGGAGGTTCATGCGGCGTTTTTCCTTAGCATGGCAGTACACTCCTGAATATATGGACTTGAAAAGAATTGGCAGGTGGCTGAAATCGATTTTTCACAGCAAACTTTAGCACTTGCCTCTCCATCTCCATTACTGAAGTTCCAAAAAAAAAAAAAAAAATCGACACAATAATATTTGCAACTATTTGCAGTTAAACATTAAAGCTCTCTGAATGATATTTTTGATGAAAAAGATGAACTAAAGCTTAAAATCTGTAGGAAACAATTGTAGCACGAGTGGATCCTAGTACATCTTTTTCGCGTTGTCGATTTATTTTCTTCCATAAATGAAACTTCTGAGTTTGAGACTTTTGCCATACCCTGACTTGGAAATGTGACTAGGCCACTGTACAAGAATTTAAAATCTAGGGGTGTGATGTTGTTTTAAAATTTTTGTTCCAATAAAACGTTGATTTTAGTCTTTATTTAAATATTGAAACATGGTGATGAAAATCACTGTAACATCAATAGTATAAAAGGAATTTGTAATTTCCCTCCTTTCCACTTAACTACTGCTTATTACTTCTTTAGTGGTGTTTTTTATATTTTATAACAATGTCCTTTGTCTTTTCACAATCTGGTATGTTTTCTACTCTTCATTTGTTTTTGTACTTTGCAATTGTTTGATATAGTATACTTTTAGCCTTTATAATCGTCAAGATTGAAGATCTTTGGCTCTTATCTAATAAATGTCTTTCATAACACCGTGGCGTTGTGTATTCACAAAACAAATTCCTTCACTTATTTAAAATGGCTTACAATTAGCTTCCTTGAACTCCGAATGAGGATATTGGGCAAGTTAGCCGAGAGTTTGTTAAGGAGATGAGGCGATTACTACATTTACGGTTCTCTGGCTGAAAGGTTTATTAAACTGAGACTCGTCCTTTGAATGGAGAAAGTTTGCCGGAAAAAACAGCAACAAACAATGTTTAACCGATCGCACATCCGCATCCGGCGGGACGCTCAAACACACATTCTAGGATGTTGTTGGCTCCGACTCAGGGAAACAGCGCGAGGCACAGGAAATCAGAAAACACTTAAAATGCAAGAAAGCAAATGTCGAGCGAACTTCGTTCTCGCCAGAGCGCAAAGACGGCCAAAACGCAGCGTGACAGCATTGCCGTGTCGCGCTTTTTGGTCAAAGCTCTCGCAAAGTCGGTTTAGCATTTCACCGTGTTTTGATCCTCAAGCTCATGCCGATAAAAATGGAGAGATTTGAAGCCACAATAAGCATAAAAATATGGAATATTTAACTAGAAAATATAACATCGAGAAACGTGGCCCAATCTGCATGATCTTTTTCCGTTTTTTCCCCTATATTTCAAAAATCCCAGGAATGACGATCTTGCGCTTTACCGTCAACAAAGTCCCACCCCCCTCCGTCCGTAATCAAACCAGCCCCAGACAACTGTTGTATAAGACCACCAAACTCGGGTCACCTGGCCGGGAATAGAACCCGGGACCTCTCGATCATAGAGCAAGCGCTACAACTACTACACCAAGGTGGGCCGACATGTAACAAGGTGTTATGCATCTTTAAAACAAGAGCATACTGACACCACGTTCAATTAAACGCCTTCAATTTTCACGAGTAGGCAATTTCTTGACCTAGGAGGACGTTGATTTGTATCCATTTCGCCTGCAGTTAAACGGACGTTTAACAGCGAATTACGATGGTGACAAGCTCCATGTTCGAAGAAAAAAAGGACTCATTGATGTTTTCCACGAGTTGGAAATTTCTTCGAGTAAAAATTGGAACATTTGGTCTGAGATACGAGTTTTTAAATTTTCAGCAGCAATATATACCGGGAGATCGATTATCAAACCTTGATCGCAGAGGCGGAACCAGCAATTTGGCAACACCGGATTTTCTCAATTTAAACCTATGTTAAATAATCGATTCTTGTCGGGGCACCTGGCTCTTCCGAGAATCGATACATTTCCATAGGTTTAAATAGAGAAAAACAATGTTGCCAATTCGCCGGATCTGCCAATAAGATCGATAAATCCATACTGTAAAAATGTTTTTTTATTGATCGGGCAATTCAACAATTCAGACTCTGCTCCGAAGTGCGTGGGAGGCGGAGTGGTGATTTCGACTCGCCCCACCCCACCCCCGCGACCGACGCGCAACGGGGTTGGTGCGGGTGTGGGGGATGCCGGTGCCGGTGTATTTGAGAGTTTTAAACTTTTCCTTTTGAAAAATTAGGAGGAAGTTATTCCTTTTGTTTTATACTTTCCGCTTCCTGACCCCGGGTTTTTATTATCGGCACTAGTTTTTTGAATGACGAACTTGGCCGGCTCTCCGTGGCTCATTTCGCCTCAAAGTCGGCTGTCGCATCCCATCCCCCC